TGAAGCCGGAGGGGGACGCTGGAGGAGGCGGGGGGCTGGCCGTGCACGGAGGCAGGTCGGAGGTTCCCAGCATGGGCCGTGCCCTGGTGTCTCCCCTCTGGGCAGAGCCAGCCACCTGCCCAGTGCTGGGCTGCGCCGTGGGGTGGCCCCTGCTCTGCGGTGCCTGGGACAGTACCCAGGCAGGGGGGCCGCTGCCGGGGGGGCAGGGCCGGCCAGTCTCTTAAGGTGGAATTGCTCACATGGGCCGGTGCAGAGGGTTTGGCTCATTCACAGGTTGCAACTTCCGACTCCCGGCTCCTTCCCCTGCCTGCAGCCCCAACGACCCCCGGATCCCTGTGCCCCCTGCACTGGGCGCCGTCCCCGATCCCTGCCTGTGACCCTGTTCCCTGCCAGCCTTGCTAGTGACACGCACGGGATGGTTATTAGCTCACACTGCTCAGCAGGGGCTTTACAGAGGAGCGCAGTAGCATCATCCCCATGGGGAAACTGAGGCACCAGGAAAGGGTTGTGACGTACCACTGGCAGGCCTGTGGGAGACGCAAGAATAGAATCCAGATTGCCCAAGCCTGTGCTCTAACCATTAGCTAGCACTGCCCCACCCCATACTTCCCAGGACCTAGCCCTTACTTGGATAGACGCCCTGCCCCCGCACTAGTGATGGCCTCATACGCTCAGACGGGTACGTATCAGGGTTCAATTCAGAGCAGTTTCTGGAGGCCGGGGCCCCATGTGGGAGACGCAAGAATAGAATCCAGATTGCCCAAGCCTGTGCTCTAACCATTAGCTAGCACTGCCCCACCCCATACTTCCCAGGACCTAGCCCTTACTTGGATAGACGCCCTGCCCCCGCACTAGTGATGGCCTCATACGCTCAGACGGGTACGTATCAGGGTTCAATTCAGAGCAGTTTCTGGAGGCCGGGGCCCCACTGTGCTCAGCGTGGGACGTATGCCGAGCAGGGAACCCTGCCCCTCCCTGCGGCGCTTACTGGCTGCTGTGAG